CCTGAGCCATTAGGTAAGGACCGGCACCCGAACTGGAAAGGAAGGGAGGAGTAAAACTGTCCCTCTTTGCAGATGACATGATATTATGTATGGAAAACTCTAAAAAATAAACCACTAAAAATACCGGTTAAACGAATAAACAAATTTGGTAAAGGTGCAGAACACAAAATGAACACAAAATTTTGTTGCATTTCTATATACTAATAAACTGTCAGAAAGAAAAATTGAGAAAACTATCTCATTTACAATTACATAAAAATTATAAAATATGTACGAATCAATTTAATTCAGGAGGTGAGTGACCTGTACACTGAAAGCTATAAGGCACTGATGAAAAAAAATTAAAGACACAACTACTGTAAATGAAAAGGTATTCTATGCTCATGAACTAAAAGACTTAATATTGTTAAAAATGCCCATACTACCCAAATTGGTCTATAGAGCCAATGTAATCTCTATCAAAAGTCTAATGGCATTTCCACACAAATAGAATAAATAATTCTAAAACCTGCATGGGACCACAAAAGACTCCAAAAGCCAAAGGAAGGAAGGAATAGAAGGAAGTAAGATATAAAAAGCTGGAGGCATCCTGCACCCTGATTTGCAACTAACTATATTACAAAGCTATAGTACTCACATCGGTATGGCACTGGCATAAATACACACACAGAGATCAAAGGAACAGCGTAGAAAGCCCAGAAACAAGCTCATGCACAAATGGTTATTAGTTCACAACAAAGCAGCCAAGAATATACAATGGGGAGCAGGACAGTCCCGTTGATAAATGGTGCTGGGAGAACTAGACAGCCACATGCAAAAGAATTAAATAGAACATTCGCCACAAAAAACTAACTCAAAATGGTTGAAATACTTGAACTTTAGACCCGAAACCATAAAACTCCTAGAAGAAAGTAGATGGCATGCTTGCTGACATTGGCATTGGAGGACTTTTTGGATTTGGCACCAAAATCAAAGGCAACAAAAGCAAAAACAAACAAGTCAAACTACGTCAGACTGAAAAGCTTCTGCACGGCAAATGAAACCATCAACACAACGAAAAGACAACCTACCAAATAAAACATTTGCAAATCATACATCTGATAAGGGTTTAATATCCAAAATGTTAAAGAAATAAAAATCTGATTAAAAATAGTGGGTAGGAATAGACATTTTTCCAAGGACAACAAACAGATGGCCCGTGGACACGTGGAATGGTCCTCAAACCCACTGATAATCAGGGAAACGCAAATGAGAGCCACAGTGAGATGCTGCCTCACTCACGTCACGGCAGCCGCTACAAAAAGACAAGAAATGAGCGTTGGCAAGGAGGAGGAGAAAAGGGAACCCTCGTGTGCTTTTGGTGGGACTGCAAATGTGTACAGCCACTATGAAAACCAGTGTGATGTTTCCCCCAAAACTAAAAATAGAACTATCATATAACCCAGTAATTTACTTCTGGGTATTTATTCGAGGGGAACAAAGACACCAACTTTAAAAAATATGTACACCCCATGTTCGTAAAAAAAAAATGCAAACCACGGATACACAGGACAGAGGAGGGGCGTGGAAGCAGGGGAAGGGGCAAAGCGGGTCGAAAGGCACAAACCTGCAGAGATAAAGTAAGCCATGCGTTACAACGTACAGGACAGCGGCTGCGGTTAGTGTGACAGTGTTACGTATCTGCAAGTTGCTTAGAGAATAGATCTTACAAGTGCTTATCACAAGAAAAACTTTTTGTGACGGTGTGGTGATGGATTTTAACTAGACTTAGCGTGGAGACCACTCAGCAATATATATATGAATGTCAAAGCATGATATTGTACGCTTATCACTAGCATAATGTTGTAATGTCGATGATATCTCCATGTTTTAAAGAGGGTGCATTTCAAAAATGATGTGCCTTTCTGACCCGGTTGCACTGCTGTCATTGACCTTGGAATCTTTAGAGGTCACCCACGGGGCTTATAAATGGACAGGTATCTTCTTGACCTCGTTGGAGACAAATGAGACTCTATATTCAACTGGCTTTGCTTTTTCGGTCAGTGACCTTTACTTAAGGTTCAAATGCAGCAAGCTTCCTCATCCCAAGCATTAGCCGCATGTACACGAAGCGCTGGGCGCCCCTCCGGGCGAGAGGGAAGCAGCACCAGGGCCCCAGGCACGACAGCATCAAGGGCACAGCGCCCGCAGATGAGCAGCTGGAGGCAGGGGGATCTCAGCTCCTTCCCGCTAATTAGCTCCTCCATTGATTCTCCTAGCCATTCAATAAATAATATTTTGCTCACCCACCCTTTTCAAAACGAAGGACAGATGCACAACGGATCGACAATAGATTCAGCCGACATTTATTAAGCTCCACTACAATAGACTAGGAATTGGGCAAAATAAAGCTGTATGGCCATGAGTTTCTAATTTAATTCTGCTTCTTATCAAAACTGAATCAAAAGGCCATTGTTTTGCCTACATCCGCAACAACTCAGTTAATTCCTGTATCAGCTCACCTTCCTGAAGCGGCCGCCCTGACGGTCCTTAAGCCTGGCTCACCGAAAGCGCCAGGCTGCCCGCCCCTGCAGCCGCACACGGATGTGGAGGCCCCCGTGGAGCCCAGGGAGAAGAGGTGCCGGGGTCGGGGCGTGTAGGCGGATGGTGGGCGAAGCCACGAGGGGCCCGGAGATTGCCCGAGCAGAAGCCAGGTAGTGAGAGAAGAGGAAGGAGGAAGAAACCCCGGAGACCATCCACACCCCAGGGGTGCAGAGAGAAGTGGAGGGGCCCCGGGAGAAGATGTCACCAAATGCAAAGCAGAAAGGGGCTCAGAGCAGGAAGTGATGTCCACAGCCGCTGGGGTGGTCAAGGGGGAAGAAAAGTGGTATCATTAGGTCGTGACCCTCAGCACGTCCCCTGGTCTTTTCAGAAAAGCGTTTCTGGAGAGTTGGGGCGGTGACAGTGAGAGCGACACACGACCAGAATGGGGCACGAGGGGGCAAATCCACGCAGACGGTTCTGTTACGAAGGCTGATCAGGACATGAGGGGCCTAGGAGGGCGGCCTCCCAGGGCAGTGGGGGGCCCAGGGCTCGGGGGTCGCAGTGGTGGTGTCTGTTGCTGTTGGATGTGGGCTGGCTTTGAGCACTTTTGTGGACTGTGGTGGGAGTGACTCAGAGAGAGAGAGGGACTGAAATGGAGACCGAAGACTCGGTGGAGGACAGAAATGTGGTCAGAGGAGGGAAGGTCCTGGGTCGTGACCCAGGGGAGCCAGACCAGGTGGAGGGTGTGCCCTCGAGGGGAGGGGAGGCCTCTCACAAAGGAAAGGCAGGCCTGGCTCCGCGCTCCCACTTCCCCAGAGCCCTCCACCCAGACCCCAGCTACTGCCAGTGCCCTCCTTACCGTGGCTGGGCCCCATGCAGAGTGGGCGGGCACAGAGCAACTGTCTGCAGCCTCCAAGGACAGAGAGACGACAGACATCCCCGTGCATCAGCAATGGAGCCTGCCCGGGAGCCTGAGAGTGGCGCCAGCTCCCCTCGGCCGAGGGCAGCCCGAGGTATCAGGGCCCGTGATGTCTGCCCCTCTCAGATTCTCCTTCCTTGCGTCTTTCCTGCCCACCTAACCCCCGGCCTCACAGTTTGTGTGCATTTCTCCTCCGGAGGACAGACACTGGGTCACTCCGCAATGCTCTGGGAAACCCAGAACCCCTTCTGTAAAGCCAGGCCAAGCCCTTGTTCTTTGCGGCAGGAAACCTGAGCAGCGCTAGGCCAGGCGGTGGGAAGGGCTGGCTCACCCTCCTCATCCCTCTCTGTCCCCATCCCTGAGGGGACACTCTCCCTGAAGCACCAGTCAGGCCCCAGTCCAGTCCATGGGCTGGGCGTCTATAAAGAAACCAGCAGCCGCCTGCTCTGCAGGGGATGAGAATTCCAACCCTCAGCAGAACGATGTGGGGTGGGTGACACCGGCTGCTGCCATCACCCCTTCCCCCCTCCCCACAGCCGGGGCTGGTGGACCCAGCTGGCCTCTCAGAGGGCTGACTTCCCTACTGGTCCACCCTCAGCCCAGAACTTCGCTACCTGCAGGGGCGCCCTGACCCGGGCCTCCTCCTGAGGACTCAGCTCCTGCCTCATTCCAAAGGCAGCCCCACCCTGCGCCCCAGACCAAGTCCCAGGACAGCTGCCCACCCAGAGAGAGAACTCCGGAGTCCCCTCTGGGGGAAATGCACTCGCTCCTGCACACCAGCCTCGTTCTCGAGTCCCTGCTCAACTCCCTCAGTTCCCCAGACCACATCACAGAGGTCACCTGGCACACTTGCCGGCAACCTGCCACCTACTGGACACCATGGACAAGACCTCCCAATGCCTGTTGCTCCCCTGAGTGCCACCACAAAGTTCCCACTGGCCCAGCTTTCCTATTCCACGCTGGCCTCAGCCTCCTCCTTTATACAAGGGGCACAAAGACAGCACCCACGTTCCAGGGGGGTGCTGCGGCTTTGGTGACACAGAGGGGCAGAGGAGCCACAGACCCCCGGCCCACTGTCAGTGTGGGCCTGCGGCTCCCGCTTCAATCACAGCGGAATACACAGCACCCCGTCAGGCGCCGCCCTGCTGGAAACAGGCAGATGAGAGAGGCTCTGAGCCCCGACAGACCTCAATTTGAATCTGCACTCCGGGGCTCACTCTCTGTGTGACTTGGAACACAGTCATTAGCCCCCTGGAGCCTCCGCACCCTCCTCTAGAAAGCCTTCCGGGAGGCCGAGAGATAATGAGATGAGAAGAGGAGGAACGCACCTCTATTCAGACGCGGTGAGTGGAAGTCTGCAGGCGCTCCTGGCCGAGTCCTCGCTCCCGAACAAGTGAACAAGCGGGCAGGGCTGCCCGGCTTCGACGCAGACCTCCTCCGGACCTCCCCGGGGGCTCACCCTGGGGGAGCGCCGGGTCCTGTCCCCGAAGGGAACCTCCATAACGCGGCACCCCCTGCAGGCCTGGGAATGTGCGATGCAGTCAACCACTGCCCTTACCTGTTTGCAGAATCCACGAGCGGCTTGCGTCCGAGGAGCCTGCAGGTGTCCTTCCAAATTAAACGGGAACCTGGGGAGAGAATGACTTTGTGAGGATGCGGGCTCAGGAACAGCCCTCCTGGTTGGCGACAGTGGTTATTCACAACTGTGTGTTTCTGCTTCTCGGCTGCTGCCTGCATCCCGCCAGAGGACGACCAGGAGGAGCAGGAACAGGGGCCTCTGCCAGCACCCCCTGGCCAGCTCCTGCCCATGGACCTCCCAGGAGGGCCAGGCAGGCTGCAGGGAGCGGCAGGAGAGCCGAAGGCCAGGGCCTGATTCCCAGCTGGCCGGTTTGGGCCCCTGGGAAAGCAACTTGGCCTCTCTGAGCCTCAGCTGCCTCGTCTGTGCAATGGGCATTATAACAGGGCCCGAGGACACGATGCACCCTGTGAGGGGCGTGGTCAGACATTCTGTGTGTGCACTGCAATCAGCTCAAGTGTAACGAGCAGGGCCTGAGTTCTGGGGTGTTCTGTAATGGAAAGGAAGGGAAAGCCAAGGCCACATAAAGCACCTACTACGTGCTACTATTGCAGAAACGTTTGTGTTTCATCCTCAAAACAAGCCGAGGGAGTAGGCACGTGATTCCCATTCTAAGGGGGATGGCTGGAAGCCTCAGAGGGGTTAAGCGACGGGTTGGAATCTGCATCAATGGTGGAGGATGAGCCCCTGTGCCTGCCGCCTAGCAACCTGTAGCCGCAGGAGGCCCGGGGGCTGTGGAGGGGGTGGGGCAGTGAGGAGTTCACAGCAGGCTGGGTCACCACCTGGACAACGTTCAGAGGGGGGGACAGGACATGAGAAAATGGGCTGACTCTCGGAGCAGGAGGACATCCCCTGGGGACACACACTGAAACTCCCTGAGCAGGCAAGCAGGGTGCTGCCTGGGGCTGGCACCCCATCCCCAGAGCACAGGGGCTTCCTCTGACCCGTCATGGCCAGACCGGGGGAGGGAAAGGCGCCCAGAGGTAAGGTCAGTGCGGCCAGGTCTTCCACGGCCACCTGGATCAAAGGAGCTGACCCTGCAACCAAGATCGCCACGAGAGTCACGCCCTGTCACCAGCCTTTCCTACATGTGTCCCCAAGCCTGGACCACTCTAGCCTGCCTTCGGCCTGGCCAGCTCCTACCTGCACTTTGGGTCTCTCTGTAAAACCCACTCCCTCGAGGAGCCCTCCTGGAGTCTCCCAGGTGGGTGATTTCCACCAGCCTGTGCTGCCCTGGGGTCCGGCGTCCTGCCTCCTGCCTGCGCTGGAGCTCGGCCCCACCCCTGCACACTGTCTCCTTGACTGCCCTCCGCCCAGACTGTCAGCTCCAAGAGGGCAAGGACTGCCTGCTTCTCTCCCCTGATGCAGACAGCTCTAAATCCTGCCACACAGAGTCGTGTGCATTAACATCATGACCAATGACTTCATCACAAAGCAAGCGACACAGGTGAGATTCTGAGCACGCAACACAGTGACGCACACGCGGGCAAGGGGTCACTGACGGGGGCTAGCGACAATCTTCCCAGTGCAGCAGGCTCGGGGCTGTTCACGGAAATGCCCCCCACCCCGAGGTGGGCCATGCATGTGTTCACTCATTCAGCATGCATTGTAGGTGGCAGGTCACACTGCACACGGAGGATCCAACAGTTGGAAGACCACGACAAGGCTAGGCATGTAAAGGCATGTACCACAGTGCATGGCAGACAGGGCTGGGCTGGAGGTAGAGGCAGGGGTGGAGAGTCCTAGCTGGGACCCGCAGGAAAGGCTCACCTGGTATAAAAGGAGAGGAAAACACGACCCCCTGAGCAGCAGGGAATCACGACAGACCCACTGGTGGCGTTCAAAGCAGCTCCGTCCAGAATTTTGGAGTGTTGGGATACTTTACAAAGTCCCCAGGGACACTGGCATGCTGACCACAGAGAGGGTGCGCTGGGGACGGACTCAGCGCTGGCCCCACTTCCTTCCTGGGCGGCCGGGCTGGGCGGCCCAGGGGCCTCTGCCTTACGTTTAAGTCCCGCGTCCTCGTGAGGGTGGGTACCTCGAACGGTTGCAGAGACAGGCCGGGCTGCAGCTCTCAGCTTCCAGACGTGGTTGAAACCGTGACAAAGAGAGACCTCGATTAAGGGAGGAGCTGCTTTTGGGGACCTTTGCAGGCTGGGACGGTCTTCATCAAACCACTCTCCCTGCCGAAATGCCCTTCCTCCTTACTCAGGTATGATCAGAAAAATGGCCAGGCTTTGAGCTAAAAATACCAGTGCTTTATGTCCCTCCACGGGGGGAAAGGAAGACAAGGGAATCTATGAAAGTAACGAGGAATTTCATCCTTCAGTGGACTTCAGAATGGATATTTTAGACCCAGCCATCCATAAACAGTGGGTAATCTCACACTCCTGTCGTGCAGGATGAATTTCCGCGGGACGAGCCACGGATCTGCATCAGGCTGGCGAGTGGCCTCTGAGAGCATTTAAAACCCCAAGTGGACGGCTAGTCTCCTCTGTGCCTGGGCAGCCAGACGGCCCAGTTGAGAGCCAAGAGGCCAGTGTGCTGGACAGTGAGCGCGCAGGAGAGCTCAGGCCCTGAGATCAGGCAGCTCTGAGTCAGCTGGGGCCTGGGGAGCCTTGAGCCCAAATCCTGCCCCAGTCAGGCCCCGCCTGTGACCCACCTTGGGTCCCGGAGCCTGCAGGAGTTGAAAGGTGCCAGGTGATCTGGCCCACGCCCAGCCCACACAGGATCGCCCACCACGCCCCGTCCATTCCCACCGCTACTCTAGCCAGAACTGCCCCTCGGTCTGTCCCTCTCCCCGTCCGTCCTCTGCCCGCCCGGGCTCCTGTACATGCCCCCCTGCCCCCCTCCCCCCCGGCCTGGATCAGCCCTCCGCCAGGCTTTCGGCTGCCAGCCTAAACATCACGCCTTCCAGAAGTCTCCCTGCCCACCCCATCACCACAGGATGGAGCAGCTGCTGCTTCTGCTGGGACTTGTGGATTCCAGGCAGTAGACGCCACGCCCGTCACTGTCAGTGCCACCTCCCTCTGCAGCCCCAGCCCCAGCCGCCCAGGCTGGCCCCGCTCCTGCTGCACTGACCGAGCTGCGCACACACAAACACACCCCTTCACACTGCTGAGTCCCTCTTCCCCCAGCCGCCAGGGCCCATCCGAGCCACCCTCCCTGCAGGTTCCCCACGGACTTGCCTGCCTTCGTCAAACTGAACTAGACACTCAGAACCTCCTCCTCATCCTCCTAGGACCCGCTCACGTGGCACCTCCTCTCTGAAGCCTCCCTGAGCAGAACCTGCAGAACCGCCCCCTCACACGATGCCCCTTGGCCCTGGTGCCGCCCCCCAACCAAACCGCTCGGCCTCCCAGCAGCAGTGTGTCCACAGGCTTGTCCCAGATGGAGAGCAAGCATCCATCTCAGCTGCGCCCGGAGTGCAGGGGCCAAGCCACCTTCAAGGTCCCTGGTGTCTGCATACTCCTGACACACTGGAATGCACCTCCCTCCAAAACTGGGGACAGGACAGGTGAGATAAAGGGGCTTCCTGCCCCTGTTTTCATGAGCTAGTAACCTGGTCGCAAGAGGCAGGGGCTAGTCCACTGCTTGGGGGCACAGGTCTGCACCACCAAAGAGCCAGGCGAATTCTGCCACCTCAGATGTGGGAAAAGACGGTTCAGTGTGTTTGATAAAAGTCGGTGTCACGGAGGACGCGCAGTGTATCGACCCAGCCCTGCGCCAAGTGGTTTACATTCCTCGTCACCTTTGACCCTCACACCGGTGAGGCGCTCCCCTCAGCTACCCGCATCGTGCCGGCTGGAAAACCAGGACAGTGTTTAAGTCTCCGCCTGGACAGTCACACAGATACCAAGGGGTTGAGCTGCCCTTCAGGTTTAAGCTCCAGTGGCCTGGGTCCAGAGCCAGAGCTCAGAACTGTCACGCTGCTCCCAAATTTCTGCATTTGGGCTTTTCGGCACCTCTTTGGACTCAGGCGGGTGTGGGGAGAGGCTGCAGAGCTAACGCACGCTCAGGCCTCCGTGTCAGCGGCAGGCTTGCTCACAACAGGTCTTTCTTACCCCGCCTCCCCTGACTCGAGAGGCTGAGAGAGTGGAGTATTGCGTTTCCAAGGGTGTCTTTCATCAGAAAACTATATTCTTTTGATCACCCTCCATCTCCCCAAAGTTGCAAAGGCGGAAGATCAAGTTGCCAACCGGAATCTCATTCATCACGGAGATAACCATCGGCAAGGCCCCCGCCCCTTCTGCCGCCTTCAAAGAGCACATGTCAGCTGGTGGCAGCTGGCGCTAGGACCAGGAGACCTGGGCCAGGGACTGCGGGGGCTCAGGGTTAAACCCAAGCTCAGCCCCTACCCGTGGGCAAGTCACTCCTCTCATAGGTGTCATTTCTGCATCTGCACCATCCACACAGCAAGTTGGGGCCTCTGCACACTGTTAAATGACGGAATAAATAAACTGGTAACTTCATAAAATACAGTGTATCCCAGCCATCTTCCTGCTGTGAGATACTGAGGCTCTCAAGCATTTTTCTAAAGAACAGTGCAGTTCGGTTCTTGTCCAAGCAATGCTCCGGCCACCTGAGGCAGGACCAGTATCCGGTCCTGAGCTGAGGAGGTGAGTCAAAGCAGGGAGGCTTGAAGCCAGACCCTCGTACCATGCGAGGTCTGGGGACATCTGACCTCCCCGCTTCCATTCACAGTGCAACCCAGCGGCCCGCCCACAGACTGCCGGCGCAGGGCGTGGCCTCCCGGCCCTGGGGGCCCCAGCGGGCCACTCTCCGTCTCTCGGCTCCAAACTCTCTGTGAATGACAGATCTGCTCCCTGACACTGTGCATGACAAAGTGACCCGGTACAGAGTCCTATTAAGATAAATCACATTTAAGTTTAGGAAATTATACGTTTGAATCCTGTGATTTAATATCACTGTGACACGGGAGAGGAAGGAGAGAGAACTCAATTAGAGTCTAATTAGACCAGGCGACTCACGGGGCCTGCATGGGCTTCCGGCCTCTGTGAGGGGAGTTAGGCCGAGCATCCCATAACCCCA